CGTTCTTCTGATACACTTATTGGTATTAGGTTCTGTTGGGTATTCTGATCAGTTTCGATTGATAATAAATAGATAATGTAAGTTTTCTTAAGAGCAACTAGTTCAAGGATAATTTACTTGCTTGTGTTTTCTGTTCTTTTTTTTTTGTTAAATAATAAGCCCACATGTAAAAATTGTAAATTTTTTGTACTAAAAATATTATAAGTAATATCTATTTTCAAGTTTACTATTCAAAAAAACTTAATATTTTTCTATTATATTTTTATCTTCATTAGGTATTAAACTTTAAGAGTATTGTGCGGTTGTGGCGATGAAATTATTTTGCCGTTCTGATTCCGCTGCTTGTTTTGCAGTCGCAGTTGTTGTTGGCACACTAGTGTTGTTGGCCTGCTGAAGCCCTGACTTTTACCAATTATTGCTAGTGCCGGGGCCAGCCAGCGAATTAGCCTTTGTTGGGCAACCAATCAACTGGATCTGCCCCTCCCATCCTCCGGTGCTCCTCTTCGAATTTCCCCTTTCGGTCGCCGCTGGCTTTTCATTACTTTTCTATCAACGTACTTAGGCCATTGTTGTGCAGTTATTTAGCACAATCAACACCCGATGCCGCTGATGGCACTCACACTCCCTCTCCCCGCTTTTGATTTTCCCTTTGTCTTAGCCGAACATCGAAGGGATATCCTGCTACTTACTTGGGAGAGCTTAGTAAATTTTATCAATGGCAAACATTTCTTCGACAGTGCCCCTCGCATCCTGACGGGCATTTCACCTGGAGGCAGGTTCCTTTGTTCACTTACGTTTCAGTTGAGCTGCACACAAAATTAATGGAAATTGCTCTGCACAATGTACTGGGCAATCCAATCTAAGCAAGGACGAGAGACGGAGGCATTAAAAAATTAACAAAAAGCCCGGCTGCAAGTGGCAAACTGGAACTACGAACAAGCCGGTCTGACTTCAAGGGATTCCATGTAATTGTTGCATGCCCTGCCTCCGCCTGCGATTGCATTCAATTGGAATTATCTATGAACGGGCCGGTCAACTGAGGACTCGGAACTCTGTAGACGATAAAGGATGAGAAAGCCGGGAGCCGGGAGCAGAGAGCAGGTAGCTGATAGCTGGGCGCCCACTGATTGTCCAGGGATCTTGTCGGCTCTCGGACAAGTTGTTAAGCGCTTAAGTTGGGCCAGAAATTGTGTGGAAGGAATCGAGGGCCGTTGAGAGGTGAGATTAGGTTTAAAATTACAGCTAAGGTGGGCTGAAAAGGATTTAAGGGCGGTTTGATTACATGTGTAAGGGGAATGATTTTTGGGGGATCAATAAAATCATGACTAACCATTGAGTAAAATCACTACTCCCCCATAAGTATGCTATATTTTTTTACAACGTATTTCAGCCAGCTAAAATGTTTTCAATTTGTATTGAATATTTCATCGCATTTTGCAGTAATATCTTTACTCATCAGTTAAATTCGTTGCTCATCGCTAATAGTTCTTTCTGATTTTCTCGCAACTTGTTGATTAGTTTTAAATGAGTTCTGCCGGCGGCATTGCTTGACTTCACCCGCTGCCGTCTTAACCCTTTGCACCCACTTCCCCGCGGGCCCTGATTGATATTTACGCGCCTCGGCTGATTGAAGTGTAATCAGCAGGCAGTCAGTCAGCGAGTCAGTCGCTCCTTTACGCAGTCAATCAATCGAAGAAGCTGCGGGCCACGTATTAGCAGCTGAATGAAATGTAAGTGAGCAAATCGTAATTAAAATGGCGCCCATCAGCGGCAAGAAGGGCAAAAACAAAGCGAAGCGTGCCAACAACAAACGAGCCAGCAAAGTACGCTCGAGGACACAAACAATATGCATTAGAGCTGAACGCGTTAGGCGGCGTGGGAAAGTGGGAAAGTGGGTGGGGCTGGTTGGATGATGGCGGATCTGGAGAGGGAACGGGTCAAAGCACTCCACTGTCTGATGGCAATGACGTTGACAGAGACGAGACACTAATGAAAATGCATAAGCAGTTGCAGTCGAGGGAAAACAGAAGCTGAAAATGGGAGAATTACTGCCAGGAGTTCCCAGTGTTAATATCACAAAAGGTTATGAATTTCAACGAAGGTTTATACAAGTTTTTAATTCGAAATTATTAAAAAATTGTGAGTTTCAACCGTGTTCTCTATAAAGGTAATTTTAAATATATTCAAGTTTTCAACGAAATCGTACCCCCAAAAGTGGAGGTCCTCAGCCCATAAATTAGCCAATTTCGATCCGATTTCAAAATGGCATACCTCTAAACGTTTGTAATTTATCTTTTTGAAACTGCATTCAAAATTTTTAATTTCTCGGAGGTCGATATTTTGACCCCTGTTAATGTCCGGTTTTTCCATGTTTTGCATTGGTTTGCTGACTGTACCCCCAAAAGTGGAGGTCCGCAACCCATAACTCTGACAATTTTTCTCCGATTTCAAAGTGGCCTTTCTCTAAGCATTTGTTCCTGCATTCTTAAAGAAACTGAATTTATAATTTTCCACTTCTTGGAGGGCAAGTTCATGTTGGATTTTTCCTCTAAGCGTGGGTTATCGGATGTTCAAAGTTAAATTCCCAAAAGCTCTAAAAAAATAGTAAGTCGGAACGTCTTCCGTTCCTCGAACTGCAAACAGGAGTTACTGCAACAAGAATGAGTTACTGGATAATGAGGAGTGCAGCGCGGCAGAAAGGAGTTAGCGCATTGGGAATGCGCCAGCAAAACAAATGCTAAAATGGGCAGCACAAAGGATGAAAGCGGCTCACTCATAAATAGGGTGACACAAGTGGAAAACGAGAGGGACGAGAATGCACTGCACTCATCGTGTGTGTCTCTGTCAGACTTTCTGTTTGTCCCTGTCACTCACTCCGCCACTCAGTCGCCCCGTCTCTTTCCCTTTTGTTGGTGTCCCTTCGCTCAGTCTCGCTCGCGCCCTCCGATCCGGATTCTGAGTCTCCGTCCGGGCGTAAATCAAAGTGAAAAGCGTGCTAATTGCATTAAAAGCATATAAACAAAATGCAATGCAAGTGGCTGTGATAAATATAAAAAGCAACAGCCCAGGCCCTGAAAGCCTCCGACTGAATGTCACTGAATGTGCACTATAGCCGTATATCTCCCCGTCTCCCTCCGTTGACATCGTCCCTTTTCAGGGCTTTTTCTGCTGTGAAATTAAGCAAATAAGCATGGATAAAAAACCAAAAAAGGGGGAGCGCAAAAAGGACTGAAGATCCCACCAACATTTCAGCCCCAACGAAACCCTTTTCAGGTCCTGTAAATGCAAGAAAAGCTTTAAAGTCTGGCAATATGCCTTTTGAAATGGGTATTACTCAACTATAGAAACTCCTAGGATGCAAGTAAGCCGTTTTTAATTATTACTCTCTGAATATGTAGCTACCTGTAAAGACATTCAATGCTTTTCTATTAGTTCAACAGTCTGAGATATATTTTAATATATAAACGTCATATTAACAACAACATTGGTACATTCGGTAGTCCTTAACTCCAGTGTACATTTCTAGCAATACACATTATAATTTTTCCACTTAGCCAAAGCCTAATGTCTGATTTTGGCCCATAAATAGTCTGTGAATCCTTGGAACTTATCAAAATAAACATCATTCATTTCCCGAGTCGCTCTGGAGTATTCCCAAGTCATTAACCCGCCGTTAGGAAAGCATTCTGGATAAGAAAGAACACAATATGAGCTGCTCACATTTATGGTTAGCGATACGAATGTTCTTAACTGCATGTGCTCAGGCATCGGCCAAAGTTCGTAGCCCTGAATCGGGAGCTTTATAGCACCCAATCACGACTCGAAACGGAGAACCACCGCATGCGTAGCGAAAATTCAATCGTACAATGTGTTGATATATGACACGTAATCAAATGTTTAAGTGCATGGCACACGCATCGCCGACTCAAAGGGGGTTTTTCCATGGCACCCGATTTTCCATCGTGAAAATATGAACAAAATCTATAGGAGCGGGTGGCCGTGGAGGTGGCCAGAGTACACACAGCAAATCCGACAAGTAAATATAATAACAATAAAATGAAGCAACGACATGAATGCCATCGCAGCGCCAAGGCGAGATATTATGACACTGCCAGCAACAATAAAAAAGTATAACAGCGAAAAGAATGCCTGGCAAGGACAATTGCCGGCACGAATCTGTTCCCCGTTCTCAGTTTTCTGTTCCAGGTCAAGAGCGCTTACGAAGACGACGATGAAAAGCGGAGAGAGTAGTGGAAAAATTCTGACAAAAACAAGCAAGTTCGATGGGAAATATTAAATACCCTGTCATACAAATAGCTCTTAAAAACGTTTAGGTTGAATAGTTGAGCTGGGAACTGGTTAACTATTTTTGTAGTCAATTATTTAGTTACGGCGAACTCTTACCTTTTTATTTTTATGCCAATATGGGTTTCATATAGCCCTAAACCACCCACTTACAGGGTACCAGAGAACACAGAGCAAAGGCCCTGAAAATATGTTGGCAGTTACTTCCTTGGGGCAGTGCCAACAACAATCAGGCACTCTCATTTGTCTTTTCTTTTTTTTGCATTCTTTATTTTTTTTAAAGACTTAATAACATTCATTATCCGCATATACTTTACACTGCTACACAAGGTTTTGGCTTAAGTTCTCTATGGTTGGATATGATTTCGCTAGTTATGGTCTTAGTCTAGGTAACATTTAACAATTTGTTCATCGCACAAGAGAGAGACAAAGATTTTCTCGACAGAGATATGTTTTGGGGGTGCATCATACATTTAAGTGCCGAAAAATAATTCTAATGATATATTTGGGGAGGGATTGTGTTAGTCATTCCAATTATAACACATTTCGCACTGTCGAAATTGGAGTCAATTATGTTCTTATTAACTCCGACTAACAGATTACAAATAGTCATGAAAAACCTATTTTTTTCGTTTTTAAAACCAAATTAAAGAGGTGATGCTTTAAAAAATTGTAATATAAAAATACGGAAATAATTTGTTTGATATTAATTTTATTTAAACATGAACGAATTACATTTTATTCTAGGGTTTTGTTGGCTAGATTATTTGCTAGGTTTGAAATAAAATCAAGTTCCTAACTCGTTAATTTTTTGTTTTTCCTCTATTGATTTAACTTTTACAGTTGTTTTCTTAGAACTAAAATATCTTAAGATTAACTCTTAAAATTTACAGCTTTGGCTACTTACTTGAGTTAATTTATCTATACAGTTATGCGTACTATTGAAAATGTTTATTTTCTTTCTCATTTTCCCTTAGCAATTTCATAGCCAACAACTTTGAGCATTTTCCCTAAGACCGACAAGCAAAGTAAGCCCAGAGAGGAACAACGACATTTCAATGCTTTGCTAATAAATGTGTGATATAAATACAGTAAATATATGGATATGTACATACACTAGTTAAGCGAGCCGCCCACGCGGCGTATACTTGATGTGACAAAAACTTGAAATATTTACAAAGAGCCTAATGGGATTTTAGGCCGTGTAGCTGCCTCTTTTGATGCCACGACTGTTCATTTGCTCGCTGGTTAATTGTTATCTACGCCGAGCAGTCGCCTCCTTGGAGCCTAATTGGCTCGACAGGCGGCTCCCGTTTGCGTTGCCGCTGCTTATGTTGCTGCTGCTGCTGCTGATGTTGCTGTTGTTGTTGCTGCTGCTGCTGCTGCTGCCACGGTTGCCATTGTTCCTCTGACAGCAACTCCCCTCGACTGCCGGTCGAGAGCTACACAGAAACGCTATTAAGACTGGCAGCGCGTAGAGGGAAATGCGTGCAATTGATTTGGAAGCTAATATGCGTGACCAGGGCGCCGATGAGCCCCAGATCGCCCCAAATGGCGCCACAGTTGCCGTTGCACTGGACGAGGCTGCTGCCGCTGCTGCTGCCGCCGCAGCAGCCGCCGAAGTTGCCGCTGCAGGGCGTCGGCTCTTCTTCAGTTGTTTGTCTAGTTTGTGGATTCAAAACGGGTCAGTGGTCAGGAGGGGTTTGGTTATCGAAGGCGGGCGGATGGTTGGGCAAACTTTTGTGGCCACAACTGTTGCGGGTGCACTCGGAAAAAATAATCAATAATTATCTATTATTAATCCAAATGTAAAATAATGGAAATTAAAAAATATTTTTTTATCTGACAAATATTAAATTAAAACATTTATAAAACATTTAAATTACATTTAGACTTTTGTTTGAAATTGCCTTCTTCTTTCATTATCTGCATTAGTTTTTTTTTCCGAGTGCACAACCGTTGTTGACCAACTAACCGCTGGATGATTGATGATCACTCACCTTCGAGCGAGGACTGGGCCTTGTCCATGGACTGGCGGGACTTGACCGTCTCCCGCGACTCCAGGACCGGAATCCTTTGGTGCTTGTCACTCTCCACACTCTCCTCGTTGCTCTGCCAGTACACGGATGAGATTTTGGCGACACACTGCAGTCGGATGATGGCCGTGGAAAATGCAAGAACGAAGAACGGGGAGAACTTTCATCAAATCTGTGTACATTGATAAATGTGTGTTGAGGGCTGTGGGAAATGGGAAATGGGGACAACGACGGATTGGCCATCCTCTTGACGGCGTAGTAAAAGTTTTATGTTTTCATTAACTCCCCCCGTGCGGCCAAATAACCCGAAAATGACCCGCATACATCTCCGCAGGACCCACACAAATATGCACACCAGCACACCCACCAGCGTCACCACATATGCAAACGGACAGTGACCCACAGGGTGGCCAAAGGTCGGTGCACAGTGGGCTGAACGCAATGTTTTTCGGGTAAAAATTGTTAGTGGTTGAACAAAGAAGGAGCAATTATTGCAAGTAGAAAAAATACAAATTAAAATATATCCTAACACTTAATTAATTCTAAGATTTACTAATGGTTCAGTGAACTATTTTTTTTTTCCACCATTTCACAATAAAACATTTTAAGAAAGAGAACACTACACTCGAACCCAATGTCCTTAGTGGCCATGTCATAAGAGCACTTCGACTGCCGCCCGCGTTCGCATGAAATTTTGTGGCTTGTTCAACATACATTTGCACTCGCAGTGGTGCGGGTGGTTGGGTGGTTGGCTGGTGGGGTGGCTCAGTGGAGCGGCTCAGTGGGAATGGCCGTCGGGTGAGTGGCTGGCCAACTGGGTCCGGTCCGAATGGATAATAATCAACATGAGCTGCCATGTTATGTTGTCGCAAATTGAATCAGAGCAACAGTCCGCTGGCAAATATGTATGAGATGGTGTATCGGATGAATGAATGTATCAATTTTCATGGGCTTTCGTGGTAACAATAATCAGCTTACTGAAATCCTTGGCGGAGTTTCAGTACTTGCAAGTTATCTTTTAATTTTAATAAAAAATTAAAGATGTTTTACGGAAAAATCGTAGAAAATGGAGATATTATCCCCATTTATTTATAGTGGCTAGGTATCACTCTTAAAGCATTTATTATAAGGTAGGGTAAGATGGGGTAAAACCGCCAAAAATGTATATTTGACGATGTCAAGCTATCATTTATAAAATGATCAATGAACCAACCCATATTTCTGAAAGTTTAATCCCTTGGCTACATAATTCATTTAGAAAGTTTTTATGTAGCTTTTATTTTAAAACAATTGTGATCGTTCAAAGAAAAGTTTAAAACGGCGGTTTTACCCCACCTAGTGGGGTAAAAACGCCATTCTGGTTTCAGTGTAGTTAAGTGCCCAAATAATGTCAATAACAAGTAGATTATTATCATAAAATATTGAAATCTTAGATATTGATACCGAATAGAAGAAAATCTTCAATTTCAAAATTTCCAACATGTGGATTCAGAAGTTTTTTATTTAAAAACTATATCCATTGAAATGTTGCAAAAACTTTTTATTTAACAATTTCAACAGTCAATTTCACAATTATTAAGTGCCTAGTGAATTTCCAAAGTGTCCGCTTCAATATTATAGAAAAGTAAAATATTATAGAGTTTAAAAATTAAAACTTCTGAGCAATACCTTTTCGCGGCGTTTTTACCCCACACGCCAATTTTTTTTCGAGGTCACTTAGTTTGTACAATTTTGGAAATATTGGCTAACTTGATGTATGTACATCAGTATCAAGGTTCTTACTATAAGCGGACACTTACCTCTTTTTTTCAAGCCGTTTATTTACACTTGATTGAGCAATGTTGATAACAAAAATTTTTTGCTGCCGTCGAGTGAAACAAAAATGGCGCAATAGAAATTTTCACGACAAAGCTGCAGTATTCCGACCGACTGCAAAAACCGCGCATTATCAATCAGAATCTACATTATCAACGGTTAATCGTTTCGGCGCTTCATTTGAATTTGAAATCCAAATGGCGGTTTTACCCACCGGCGGTTTTACCCCATCTTACCCTATAATAATGACATATGATTTTTTTATAAATGGTGCATCTTTTTAAGGATAAAAATCTCTTCCAAAATGTCTACACTTCAATCAAACGCCCCAGTATAAATAACATGGGGTTTTTATTGACTCGTTAAAAGGTATACACCTCATAAAAATCAAAATCCAACCAGGTTTTTATTTTGCTGTTCAAGGACCATTTGAGATTGTGACCTCACTTACCTTTAGCTTCATGTCGCCGTGCTTGAAATGTCATCCGCGCACCCGGAACTCCAGGCCCAATCGGGCGACCTCCAACCCTTCGCGACCCACAACGAGGGGTTCATAAGGTCGCAGCAGCGAGCGATTGGCGTGCATCCCGTTAATCAGCCAGCTGAGATGGCAAACAGGCCTCGATGCCGCCGAGGTGCAATTGACGCGCACCATGTCGCCAATTTGGTACCGCGGCTGTCCGCCCGTGATTTGTGGCCCGTGCTTCGGAGTTACTGGAAACACAAAGGTAAACGGAGATACCGGATTAGGGCTTAACCCGATTGAGATGCCAGTCCTCATATAGGAGCTGTTTTAGTATCGGTTTGCGAGTTGTCACTAACTAAAGTTACTTTCTTAACGATGAGTATAAAGACATTTTTTTTTAACGACTGGAGGAAGCTTCAGATTCTTTACAATGAAAACAGTAAAAAGCACAAAATAATGATATCAAATTCTCCAATTTACTCATTTTAATTTGATATAACCCAATTGTTTTAAACAAAAGAAAACCAGGAAATAGTTGTTTGGCCATTCCATCATTGCTCTGTCATATATCAAAAAATGAAGTTGTTTCCCCCAAACAAGATTGATGGTTAATTTGTTTTTAGTTCCCAGCCAAATTCTATCCCCCTGGCTATTAAGAGATGCCAAATAATTTTTGTAAGCCATCAGTTGGGCAATTAAATCGATTCCCATCAGCAAAAAAGAGAACAATGCAAATTTAGTTAAAACCCAACAAAAACAGAAAATAATAAATATACGGATATGTCGAAAGCATCTCCTCGGTGCGCTATTTTTGCACGTTGTAGCATTTGATTTGTCTTTTGTGGGGACTGTGTGTGTGGTGGCCATGAAGTCCAGCTGCTGGACAGATGGCAATTGGGCGGAATAAAGGGGCTGGAGGGCAAAGCCATGTCTGCTGGCCGACCTGGCTGCCTGCCAATTGGGTCAAAAGCTGTGAAAATCGAACAAAACTAAAGCGAAACTTCAATTAAACATAATCGATAGTTTCCCACTGATGAAAAGTTTAGGAATATGAAAGGAAACTTCAACGTTTATCGCACAAAAGAATATTTCTTCCACACTTTTCCATCCGCTTCTTAATAATGGTAATAATTGCGCCAGGACTTTTCCAAATACAAAGCAGAAAGGAAAAAGAAAATTTATGAGAATACACTGTGAGCATTCTTAGGATCTAAAAACAAACAATTTTTGTAAAATTTTGCAATAGATTCCTAATTTGTATTATGATTACTTTAATACAGTTGCCATCTCGTAAGCCAAAAAAGAATTATTCTGATTGGAAATGTTAATATTAGATGTATATATTATCTGCATAAATTGTTACATTTAAAAGTGCCAAGTCAGGTAACGTTATTTATGGAAGTGTCCAAAATAGGGTCAGAAGAAATTCCCATTTCCTTCGAGAAATTTTGCTTTGTCCTTCTTTTTCACCCTCTCCAACTTTTCTTTTCTTCATCCTTTCTTCGTCTTATTGTTCGGCTTAACCGAACTGAACTGCATAAATTATTATTTTCAGCGACTATTTTTACGCTGCCCTGACATTGATTAAGCTGTTGATATTTTGCGGCACTCCTTTACGATTTTCCGCCTTTAATATTTGGCAAAGCGTCCAGCATTTTTCCCTTGTTGTTTGAGTTAAGGAACTGAGGGCTTACATTCTCTGTTGTGTTCTGTACCAGTATCAATTGGTAGTAATTGCTGGGCATTTTTATTCTATAGCCGTTATTATCCGACTTTGTTTGCCTCCGAGTGCTTTCAGACAAGGGATCAACATGGATCCATTTTGTTTTTCGTGGTCCGTTCCCTCGGGTTTTCATTGTCCCGGTCTTTGGTGAACAATGGGTTCAATTGAGCAACTGAAACAAATATCTAAGTAAATCGGATGCCTAAATAAACTAACAATTTTTCACCTTAATAGCTTTTTGGGCCACACATCTTTACAAAAGGGTCAAAGGGGCGCAATTGATTGAAAAGAAACGAGTTGCCAAACTTTTCGAACGCTTTTTTGTGTGTTGAGTAAAGTGAACCTTAACTTTTTTAGTTTGGGGCAGGTTTCTAGACTTTTTGATCAGAAATAATAAAGTAGATGATGGCTGTTAAATTTTCAAGACTAATATTATTTAAATTTAAGTAAGTTAAATTTGTCAGGAATAATGCGATTCTTCAGCTAAAACTATATTTTTGTATAGCTTTTCAAACTGCAACTCTGCGAGATTAAGTTCAACCCATTTTTCCGACCGGATGCGGCCATCATATGCAACTGCGTCGAAACGACAGTATTTTCCGCCCATTTCCCGCGCATTTCCACGCGGGGAAACCCACATTTTCAATTTCCGCGCATACACTGCCATTATCAAACATGTCGACTCCCCAGTTTATGTTGTCTAATCTAAGTAACTGGGTCAAACACACTTGGCCACGTCAATATACCTTCGCCAGCTGTTATTGCTTTCAATTATATCTGGCACTTCAAAAGCATTAGCTCTAAAGCTAATGTATTCATTTTAACATTTCCTCAATTTGACTGAGAATTGTAGAAAGCAACTTAAATACAGCACGTTGCGAATCTCTTTATTTATCTGTGTTTTATCATCACTTTTTCTGGCTTACTTATCCGTTTGCCTTTTGATGGCAACCAGTTTTTCACTTTTCCGGCTCAGAAATTCATTAGGTTTATTGATCCGCAAATCGTCATAGTCATTATGCCTTTGATTTAATCCGCTTACATTTGAACTGAAGAGCGAATTTTCCTCTTCGCTCTCGTGAATTTTTCCTCTTCCGATTTTCCCATTAAAGTCTAAGCGTAATTGAGTAATTTCCAGCTAAAAACGGAAGCTCTGATTGGTGGACTTTTCTCCCTCCTCCTTTCCCTCATTCGAGGAAATATTTAGTTAGCCTAATTATGCGATATACCAATTTTGATTGCCTCTTGCCGGAACCCTCTCAACATTTCAGTGGACGGAAATGAAGGTGAAATTTGCCTGGGTCAAACAATTATGCCGACTACTGCCGTTGATAAACATAATCATCATAATGCGGCTTTCTAGTTCTGTATTTGGGTCACAGATGTGTGGATATTCTACGCATCTTATCTTCTTTGAGGATATGTTGTAGCTAATCGAAAAAGTTATAAAAAACAGTGACAATTTAAAGGATATTTTATTTATCAATTCTAAATTCAATATACAATTCATATTAAAATAAAACCAAATTGATTTTATTGAAATAAAACCCGTATGGGATTTCACTTTTAAAGTCCACTTTAAGCTCGTATTAAAGTTTTTGTTGAAACTATCATCATATAAATCCACTTTAAGCTCATATTAAAGTGCCTGTTGAAACTAAGGCTTTATTTATCCTCCTCAGCGCAGCTTTCTGCTCGTTTCCGCTGTTATTAAACACGTTTATTCTAAGTTTTCCTCCGCAGCCGTTTTTCATATTGCGTTCGGTCATATTTTTGCGCCATGTTTTGTTGGATTGCGCAAAAATTTCAAATTAAGTTGCAGTCCGGACGAAAGAGAGGGGAGATGGCGAGCGAAAGAGAGGGAGAACGAGTCTGGGGCTGTGGAAAAATCCCGAGCTGTAAGTGAGCAACAGAATTGCATCACGTACATGGGCAATTTGCCAGTGGAATACAATACAAAGAACACACACATTGGAACCCAGTGTTGGCCAGGAAAAGGATGGCCCAAAATCGTCCCTCTCCCTTTTCCACTCTATCTCCATCTCTGTCTCTCTGCGGCCGCTGGCTTTTTTGGCACACAGGTTTTCTCCTCGAGAATTTGTAAATCGCAGCGAGAAACAATGCCGGGCATAAACTAAATAAATGTGAAATATTTTATACATTTTCGTAGTGTGCCAAAGGGAGTGAGAGAGATGGAAAGAGAAAGAGTGGGCTGCGTTAGAGAGAGACAGTATCAGCTCCGAACAGATTACTTTTCGTCGCTTAGTCCGCTTTCTGCAATTAATCTTGCCGCTTTTCTTGCGCCAAGCTCTCGCTTTCTCATTCCCCCAAAATGTATCCGTCTCTTTCACCCAATACTGTGTCCTCTCTTTCCTACACTTTCGTTCGGAAGGATTTTAGTGTGCATGTTTTTTGCTAGCCACTTTCACTTACCCACAACAATCATGTCCTCGTGACCGGAAACCGTCTGAAACGAAGGCGCCTCGCCGGACACTTCGCAGCGATATCGGCCAGTTGACTGAAGGCTAACTGAGCGCAGGACAACAACCACGTCCGTTGAGTTTTGCAACTGCAAGAAAAACGCGAAGCAAAAATAAGGTCAAGGAACACAGAAACAATGGCCGAAAAAAAATGGGAATTGGTTTTAAACTGTAAACTCTATAAAACACTTGAAACTCTTAAATTTGGGTTGTTTTAATGCCATCAAACTGATTAATGTCGTTTTTTTTTATTAATTATAGAAAACACCCATCAAAACTGTTAAAATCACTTAGATTATACATCTTTCCAGAAAACCTAGGCATAAAATTCTTGAACTTCAAATTTTAAATGCATTTAAGCTTCATATATGATATCCTCATCATTTGAAACTAAGATTTAAAGATAGAATCATTGCTTTGATTGCTTTCTGTTTGTTCAATATTGCCATCGCCATAATCCGAGTCTTTCACATCATCCTCATTCATATTATCATCGTCCTCATCCTCTTCCTCATCCTCATCCTCATCTTCATCTTCTTCGGTAAGGGCTATAAGCATTTCCTCAAGATCCTCATTCTTGACAGGCATCACTTCATCTAGCGATTCGGCAGTAGGTGAAACTTGGAAGCCCTGCATCGAATCCCTGAACTTCATGGCATCCTCTAGATGCAGAATGCTCAAATCTGTTTTAGTGCCTTGATTCCTTTCAATAGGATCAATCAGGGGCTGACGAATTTGGTCGGCTATTAACCGTACAACATCCTCATGATCGATGGGTTGCACCGAATCCTCCAGTGATCGCAACAATTTTGATTTTCTATTGCTCATTATTAACTATGCCAAATACAAATGTTATCGAAATAAATATCTTTCAAAAACTACAAATTTTCTAGCTTTGACAATGATTTCAAAGCGAATTTTTTACTTCATGTTGTGTCTTTTCCTTATAATAATATTAAAGAAAATATGAGATATAATATTTTGGTATTTGGTTTTTGTTTAATTTTGTCTGTTTATTTGCTCACCTCAACATCCACCTTATAATAATATTAAAGAAAATATGAGATATAATATTTTGGTATTTGGTTTTTGTTTAATTTTGTCTGTTTATTTGCTCACCTCAACATCGACCCCTGGCAAGGGAAAAACCTGGCCCGGTGGCATGTCCCGGGGCACGTAGCGATAGAACTCGAAGCCATCCTTGTACCACTTCACCGAGTAGAGTGACTCCCCGTCGAGATCGAACTTGCAGCCGAGAATGGCGTCCTCATGGCGCATAATGTGCTTGGGGATTTTGATTTCCGTCATTGTTAGGCATTCCGTGGATTCTGGAAAACAAAAACAGTGGGAAATAGTTATTCGCTAGAAATTCAGGCAGGGGTGTGAGCCACTTTAATAGGTCCTTAGGTTTGAGCTGCTTTCGCGGTTTCAATGCCAGTGGCAGGACATAAATAACTAGCAGCAAGTGCATAAAAGTCAAGGAAATCGAAGGAGAGTCGCTTCAGCCGCCCTCGTCCTGCTAACTAGAACAATGCGCTTTTGTTTTGCCAACACAATGGTTAGCTGGGAGGGAAAGTGAATGCGGCTAACTTGAGCAACGTGTCCTGGTTGGAAAGTCCTTTCCCGGGCCAAGATGCCGCCTGGGTGATGGCAGTGGAAAACCTCTCGGGACCCGGCGATATAACTCAGTACTCGAGACAATGCTGCAGTAAAATGAAAAGTTGCCAACTTATTTAACAGCCCAAGACAAAGACGGCGAACTGTGTGTAGGCCCGTTTACAACTGGTAGGGCAATTTGGGTCACGCAAATCGAGATATGAAATTAATATTGCAGGGCCCAAATGAGCAGCTGGAATGTGGGCCAATCCGTGAGGAAGGAGCGGAATTTCCTGCTAAAGTAGTTCCGATTGTGTATAATTTTGGCAATAGAATTTCTGTCTGATCTAAAATTTACCTACAAGCCAATTGTAATTTTCTTTATGATAATCCCCGCAGAAAACACAAGTACCTGTCATAGGAACACACCAGTAATTGAACAACTAAAGCTTCCTCATTCGTGATTAGCATGTTTTGCGTCACACAATGGGGACATAAAGGTAAATTAAACAAAGCCCTTTATTAAGTCAACGCAACCAGTAATATAATTTCCGACCAGCTTATACAATTATATCCGAGTGTCAACGGCTTGTTAAAATCCAATCAAATCAAAGGCAAAGGTATATCCTCGCTGTCAAGTCAAAAATAGATTAACAAACAAATCCCTCACTCGATCATTAAGTCCGTCAACAGCTTTCAGGGTTTATTTTCGGCCAAGTTCACAAATAACAAAGCAATAATGTTTAAAAATACTATTGTTGCCGACAGGGAAGACATAAGGAATGTCTGCCTAAAAATAAGTTCAGAATTACATTACCAAAAAGGAAGAGGCTTTTAAGGTATTTTGACGTGGGTTTGGTTTTGGTTTTGGAATTTAATGCGTACGACCATCATATTGATAGACTTCAACATTATTATAAAAGCTTATTAAACGCGTTTCCTAGCTGACAATAAAAATATTAACCTTAAAAACATGGTGAAATTATAATATGTTTAAATACATTTAAATCAGTTGAAACAGTTGAATCACAACAAAATCAGTTTCTCAGCGTTCAAAATTTTCTTGTTGTAAGGACTTGACTTTCTGTTTTCTTATTCCCAGCCATTCAGGGTATTTGTTGATTCGAGTCCTGCCAGAATCCTTGGCTTCCTGCTTTTTTGTGGTCGTTCAACCAGTCCGCCAACGAAGCGACAAACAAACCAACCATCAAACAAATAGAAAGCACAATGCACAAAGGCTAAAAAAAGAGGAGCCGCCGCCATTGAAGCCGATGACGAGGTTGATGGCGGTGTTCTTGGTGTTCCAGAGGTTGTGGCAAGTGGGTGTGTGTGTTCGGATACCAGGAAGTAGGCGTAGGGCCACGCCCACTCTGGGCTTTGCTCCTTTGAGTGCATTTCCGCTTTGCAGCGGCGGCGTCGTTTGAGTTCCTTTTTTTCCGGCCGGTGCGTGGCTCCGCTTTGGCGGACACTTTGTGGAAAGTATTTCGCCTGTGTGTGCGACTTAAGTATAATTTAGCATTTTGCACTCTCCAGTAGTTTGTGTACAGCTGCCTGCCTCGTTGGCGGAAGACAAACAAAGTGCGTTTTGCCAAAAGGTTTCCACCGCACAAAGGGCCGCCGCCAGTGGAAAGCTCCTCTGTGTACGTTTTTCTTCACGAAGCAAGAGAATTTTTAAGGAACCACTATGAAAACAACCCAGGGGCACGGGAGTTCCAAAGGAGCTGCGTCCGTCAAGTGACTTAAATGATTTTTTAACGTAAAGTACCAGGAACAGAAATAAGCATTTCCTTACCAGTTTAATCTTGGCCGAGAAAGCATTTTATTAAAACTAAAAAATAAATGTTCATAAAACCCCGTGACTTAAGGAAATTTTCCGGTAAATAATCTGTGACAAATTGAAAGTGTTCAAAGGCTAAGCTAGCTTTTTCTCTTGCAATGAATTCCCAATGAAGACCTGGCTTGTTCTTCTCCAGATTGGTTAGCTTCTTGGTTTTTTAATTAAAAATGTATTACATTTCTTAGTTTTGTAGCTGTCATTTGCCAAATTGCTTGGAGTGCCGATGAACCCTGCAATTTTGAACATGAACCCATTTGCGTATTGCTAGAAGATTGCGGTTTTACACTGTACAGCAAATGTCTATTCGACATACATAAACGATTTATTGATAATGATGGCAGACCACGTAAGTTAAAACAAATACTGAAACTAAAAAAATATTACGAACAATTTTTACAGCCCTTAAAGAATATATAAAAGGATATTGTCCGGAAGAGAAAAAACAGTGCTTCTACAGTCAAATACTGTCAGGAATAACTTTTGAATCCGTTTAATAATAAGTACACTCATAAATGTAAAAAAAACTTTATATAATTGTTATTGCAAAATTATTTTGTTTAGTAAATTAAATATTTGAAATGTTTTTGTATAACAGACTGTTATATTTAATTCCCTTCAAATTTGAAGTGCGCAATTGAAGCTGCCGAAAATTGAACCCCATTCCCCTCCAGGCAGCTAATTAATAAGACAGAAATTGGAAAGTTTTGTCATTTAACCTGAGCTTAATTAAGAAGAGCCAATGCCAGAAAGCCATGGAAGAACAGAGCGCTTGGCAGAGCCGGAAACTTTTCCATTTGATGTCGTGTAAACGTCATAGTTATGGTCGAAAGGGGATCACTCAGCACTTCCTTCGGTTCACCTAAAAACGAATTGCAGAGCTACCGCCACAGACAAAAGTTTGCTACTTAATTATTGTTGATTTTTAAATGATTTCATTTGCCGCCCGAGGACAACAAATGTCAACCGCAGACGAAAGTTGGTCGCCTCCATTGCCCAAAATGAGTTTCTTTTTGGGGTTTAGTTGTGCTCGAAATCTAATTCAATGTTGAGGGAAGGGAAGGGGGATTGGGATGAGTGTCAAGTGCAGAAGTTTACTGAGTAAAGTTTAGCTTTGCATATCATTATGGCTTTTTCATGGGGTGAACAATGTCCAAAGCCATCGAAATAATGTGCGAAGGGTGGCTTCCACAACTAATAAATACTCCAAGTTTTCAAGGTAACTCAAATTTTAAAGAGAACTAACGAAGCTATTGATCTGGTTCAGTTATTAAATTTCAAGAGGTTGGCTTACCAATTAAAACCGAAAAATATATTTTATAATATTTTTGTTTGACAAACAATTTTTTATTATTTAAGTTCCATTTTGCAATTGTAAAATCTTCGAATTTTCCGTAAAAATCATTTTCATGGTATGAAATTCACATTTTATTCTGACAAATATTCAAGGCATTAGAAGATTTCTAAGCAAGAATAGAAATATACAAATCCATGAGAATTCATTTTTAGCCCATTTAGCAGCTAAAATACAATGGTAAAAGCTCACTCAAGCGGATTAGTTTCACTTTGCAAACATTGTGCCCTAATCTCGGCTCTCTTTTTCCCTCGATAGGCCGGCAAACAAGTCCGGAAAATTCTCGGCAGAACAATTGCAATTTGGAATACGAATCTGGCTGTCACATGATCTCAACTTTGTTCAGCCTCCTTGATTCTCCACTTCTATCAATAAAGCTCGACAGGCAAATGCAAAATGCAATTAATTTTATTAGAGTCCATTGAAAACTCATTGGAAAAACGGTGCACAAAAGGGGATTGTTGTGGGAGAGGCTGGCAGCCAAGAATTTACGGTCCGGCCAAGGCTTCACTTACAATGCAAATTTTTCCAGACAGCCCAGAGGAGACATGGAAATTATGATGCGGCTCGGTTGAAGAGCTTACTCATGGGCTTTCAGGGGTTGTGGGACCGGATGCGGAGCCTTGAGCAAATAAAGATGTTTTTTCCATGTTTCGCAGACGCCAGCAGCATCAATACGCATCAATCCCCGCCTGCACCGCCGGCGGATCCACAGGAACCCCTTTCGCTTCCGAGGCAGTCGCCTAGAACGTGCTTAATCTGCAATCAGAGGCGGAAGTTGGTCTCCTCCTCAGCCCTCTCGATGGCCCGTCTGTCCTTTTGGCTTTCTGTCCGGCTTAGAGTCCTGTCCCCGTCTTTATTTCAGTTGCAGGCTGAGCCCTACTTCGATACCCTAGCAAAAATTATGCCTAAATGTGACTAGACTCTACTTTTAAAATATTTTAAAAATATTTAACCGTTTTTATTTGCGATTTTTTTGTTATTTTATGGAGAACAAGTTTTCTAAGAAAATTAAATTTATAAGCCAAAAAAACTAACACACCTCCTTAAAGTTTTTGTTATTGTATCATGTTTTTGTTTAAATTCTTTCAGAGTATTGAAGTCTTCGTTGCACTTTTGCACTCGCATTCTCCATTGTCGACTAGTGCATCCCCGTTGTCCTGGTCGTTGTCATTGCAGTCGGAAAACGGGAGCACGTCTGCCACTCCCCCTGTGCCGCCCAAACGCCCCCTTTAACCCCTTCTGGCCACCAAAGCCAACAGCTCCCAGTTGTCAGCTCAGCTCAGTTCAGTTTTTGCTGCATTGCAGGCGCACTTTCATTTGCATATTTCGCAAAAAGAAAAGGAGAGGAAAACAAAAAATATGGCATAAAGTATAAGGCAAGATGAGAGCTGCAAAAAACTTGGCAACAATCGATCCGATCCCATTGAGTCTGTTTCTTGTTAGATGGTTAATCGCCGAGCACATAAAGTCAAAAGTTTTGATATCGATTCGACTTGCACGAATTCTATGACAATATTTATGTAAGGCAATCTGCTGAACAATAAGCGCAAAAGGCTTTTATGATATGGCTTACAAAATTTAATCGTTCAATATATGTCAACAGTGCCATTAATTTTACGCCTGTCTCCTGTTATTTGCTATAATTACCTCAAATTGTGTTAGCCATCAAACCGAAATGACTAATACATCAAATTAATCAGGGCAAGCTTAGTCGTCATCAAAGAGACATGCATAATGCACATTATTTTCTTTAATTAGAAAATCAATTAAATTACTCGACACAGACACACAGCTGTTATAATATAATTAAAACTTACTTCACCTTGCAAGCGAAATAATGTCAAAGGCGTCACTGCATGAGTGCCCAAATTTCTCCTATCCACTTACCAAATGTTCATTGCAAAGCCAATCAATTTAATTAGGATTAAAACAATTACATTTTGTAAAACTTAAACAACAGAAAAACCATAAATAAATACAAATAAATGTACGAAGAATCGCTTCAAACCCAAAAAGCAAAGGTAAAGGTGATAACATTGATTTATTTACTATTCATGTGATTGGCCACTAAGTCATCAGAAAAGCCGACAATCTGTTAGCACCTCCCAGCATCTGCCCTTCAAGAACACTTTAACCCCGCCTAATCGCTAGAATAGGCACTTAATAATGCTTATAGGTATTTATGATGCCTGAGCAAACAGAGCCGAATCTTTAATAAACTCTACTCGAAGGGACCTCAAGTGCCCGGCGTCTCCGAGAAGTTTCATTAACCGAATAAAGGGGGAAATCGAGAACTGGGGGAGAGTGCGTGTCGCTCAACATTAGTTTCATGTGCTGCCAATAAATGTGAACTTCCCTTGGACATCGGTGTGCTCGGTCTTTGTTAGTTACAATTTGGCCAGAAGTGTGCGCCACGTTAACTTAATTTCATTATTTGTTGCTCGCTGCCAGAATTTTTCCCCTCTATGCGGCATGCGTACGTGACCTCATAATAGGAAAATAAGATTTCTATCTATAATTCAGGCAACGCTCGCTCGAACCCTAGCCGGCTAAGTGCCAGCAAATAATAATCATTTCGGTTGCCCCGTTTGTCTAGACAGAAATTGTATTTGTCAGTCATTATTATTTTGCTCCGCTGTCGCAATTGAGCGTGGAAGGGAAGCTAAGTTAAATAGTAAACACAGATCTGCCACAGAAACTTTTTTGCTTTGACAACTCTGCCGCAAAAGGAAACGGAAACGGAAATGGCAAAAAACTTGAGCATGTTTATTTATTTAATTAAATGCGGGTGCAGGAAAGTTTCGCTGGTTTCTTCTATTTTTTTTTCTTCTTATGTTTTTCCTACGCCCGTTGGTAATCAAGCTAATTAAGTTGAAGGTTTTCGCACACACACAAAAAATTAATATTAATAAAATATATTAATTGTGGTTGGCTATAATGAAAGATGTGCAAATAATTGAATTGAATTTATGGTTCAGCCAAGCGTAGTTTTCATTAGCTGTGAAAAATGGAAATCATTTGATCGAATGTCGGGTGTTTAAGTAAAAACTTCCAATATTTTTCTGCTCCATCAGAAAGAATTAGTAGTTGTTAATTTATTTTGAGCGATTTTTTGTCGATGCAGTGTAAAATTTAAAAAAATATTTTTTTTAATAATTAAACATATCTCATTTTTAATTTAAAATAGACATCTATCTTATCTGAATTCTCATTGAATGAAGTATCTAAAACTTTCAGTCAACCTTCATCGAAATCTTGACGAATCTCTTTTTAACTCGCCCTTACTGCGGTTTGCCGCGACTTTCGCTTGTTTGTCAGTTAATTTTGTTTAGTTTTTGCTCAGCAGTTTGTTGAACCTAATTAAAAATAAATAACAGGCAGGGTGGCAACGGAAAACTTGCTGTTTATTAATGCTTGGCAAAGTCTTGGGTTAGAAGGGATTTCCTGAAGAGATTTATCCCGGCGGCCTGACAGCCTTGACTTTGCTTCTGACTTTCTCAACTTAACGAAGTCTCGAAGGGCTTTCGTCTATCGATTATTAAATGAATTTTAAATAACTTATCTCGCAGAGGAAACACATTGCGTATGAATTACATTTGGAGGCGCAAAAAGTTTGTTTATGGGGTTAATGAAAAGTTTAAAATCTTCTTCTTACCGTAGCAAAGTTGGAGCAACAAAAATGAGAGGATGCCAGAAGCGAGGGAATATCGTTTGTATATTGGGGGATCCATGCTGCGTGTCCTTTCGTTCTATATATTTTCCTTCGTGCTAGTTTTTTCTGCTCAAACTTTAATTTTTCAATTTGTTTCGGAATTTTCGGTTATTTTTCTTGTCCATGCTCGCGCTTTTCTATGTTTGCTTTTGCTTCGTTTGCGTTTTCTCCTCGTCTCATTTGTGCAATGCAATAAATTTTCCTTGACCGCCAACGAGGGAAAGCGTCAACGAAATGCTTTTTTTGTTGCTCGGCTTGTCGTTGTCGTTGGCTTATTTATATTTATTTTCCATGAGCTCGTTGCTATTTGCTTTTCCTATTAAGCATTTGTCCACATAGAGACTTCTATGGGCAGTCACATTTACATGTTATATCCTGCCACTATTTGTATTTGTCTCCCCAGTTTCGCTTCCTATGTCGGTTTAGTTTCCTGTTTTGTTATTTTTTCTGTTTCTGCTAACGCACTGAATTTAATTGAAGCATCAGCAAAACTTTCCGGAGACAATCTGTAAATGGAAGAAAATAATGAAATATTTAATATTTATATTAGTTACAGCTTAGATTTGCCATCCAATTAAGTTTTTCTGTTGTTATTTAATCATTTGTCTAAATGTTTGATTTGCGTAATTCATTCTATTCTTGTAACAGGAAAAGTCATTTGTTATTTCTCTTGTTTGATTTTTTGGTGGGCTATTAATGTGTCCGGTATCTATTTCTGGTTTCCTGACAGTATGATCTTATTTATGGCTGAAGCTATTTAAATACCTTTTTTAATGTTGTTGACCTTTGGGAGGCAATTACCTTTCTCTGATCTGCTTAATAGGTTAAATATAAATAACTTTCTGGCCAAGTTGCACGAAGTAATGTCATTGCTTAATTTAAAGTTAATTATTTTATAACCTTTTTGCGGCTTTGAAAATTAGAAAGCATCAAAGCGTAGTTCACAAAAAGGTTATTGTCTTTGTCTCAACCTAAAATTTACAGAATGCCATGAATATTATATTGAATTTTGGAGAAAACCGTTGGTGATTCCCCCTGCTGTCCCAGTGTTTGGGAATTTCCAATTGCGACTGTCCTGAAGCCAACAAGGACAATCACTTGAAATAGTCAAATTACAGATACAAGAAACCAAATGAATTAATCATACAATTTATGGCCAATAACTGTTAATATGAATTAAATGCTCTCCGAACTGAAAGCCCTGAGGAAGAACCGACAGCTCAGGCTCAAAAATCATTGAGCAAAGGCATAAATTAACAATAGCATTGTACTTCCTGCGATTGTGTAATTGTTCTCGGGCAGGCAGAATTAAATTTGCATAAAATCAATTAAAACCAAAAACTCCTGGAAAGCAGAAAAGCCAGGCACTAGGGGGAAAAATCTGTGAATGCCTTTTGGGCCGAAAGTTTTCCAAAATCATGTTTTGTAATTAGAGGCCATGAATAATTTTAGCACCTTGTTGTCATCTATTTTAAGAGCCACGCACACAACGACTGAGTCACATGTCGAACGGTGAGTGGCTTATGCAAAATAGTCGAGTCGGACCCTCGGCACACACACGCTGCGTATACTTGATGTTTGGCTCCCGAGCCGAGTCTTTTGCATAATTAATTATGTGGCAAGCATGGCACTGGCTTGTTAAATATGCAAATATTCGGAGAACAAGGTCTGAGCGGACTTAGACACCGCAGGTCACTCACATCATGGAAATCTTTTCGCCTAGAATTTGCCTCTTAAATTGAGTTTTCTTCGCCGCCCGTTTTAAAACTTGTTTTTGCCCAACGCTTTAAAGAGATTTGCCTCTAAGGCCATGTCCAATGGCTTGTTGCAACACCCACATACAGAGAGCACACACTTTTTGGGGGCTGAGATGGGTGAAAAAGGGGCTTAAGCGCCTTCTATGAGAGCCCTCTGAATGCCGAATGAAGAATTGACTGAATGGCCATACGAGAAATGCCTCACTGACTGACTGACTGACTGAATGACTGGCATTGCCCTCTGCGTGAGTGTGTGTGTAACCATTGTGGGTGCTGTGCTTTTGTGTGTGCGTGTTCGGGGGGCCTTGAACAGCCCTTGATGTTAGTGCTTTGAGCCAGAATGTGGCTTTAAAATTTAAGCTTAGAGATTGGTGAGTAACTCGAGAATGAGGGCAGGAAAATATTAAAAGTTTCCTAAAATTTGTGAAAATTCCAAGAGAAATTCTAAATAAAATATTGAATTTTGTGTAAGCTTTTATTTTGTATTTTAAACACTGTAATCTTTTTTAATCTTATTGCTTTACCATTGTATGAGATTTAAATGTAAAGATTCGATCAAAATCAAATTACAATCTTCTCATGCAAAATAAAGTCTTTGCTATATTATTTTTCACAAATAAATAACATTTTACAGGCATACAAAGTATTTTGCAGAAATGCCACAAGACATAATTCTTGATAATAAATAATAAAAGTAATTCCTATAACCGCAATCATTGAAACTCGAACCATTGACATAAATTTAAAAATGCGCCTCCGGAAAACTTCAAAATATGTTTCGCTTAATAACGGGAACCGGATACTTTATATTTATATCGATGTTTGAGTTTTAAGTGTCAATTGATATGGCCATAAAGGCCAACGAGCCGTGGAACTGACCTCCTTGCGAGTTTGGGAATTTAACGGCTTGCTGGTAGGACATATCTCCCTTCTTGGAGGACATCCCCTCCGACTCGCCTTATACTAAATGAGACTAATGAAAGGCCATAACTCAAAGCCGGGCAAGAGGATGTCCCAGCTCAGCGAGTCAAATTAATTGGCATTGTACGGGAATTTCATAGATATGCGACGCCAAATGGAGGTGTCCACACGCTTGCGGTGAAAATAATAAGGGCCATGAAGTCTTGAGTGTGGTTCAATCTTAAAAAACAGTCATGGATTTTTTGAATTACCTCGCTTTTTATGAAAAAATACAACATATTAAAAAAAAAAATACCTTATAAAATGTTAAAATAAGTGATTACCAAATTATTACCAATTATAGTTTAATTATAGCTTAAAATGTAATGGACCTGTTCATTTTTACCATAAGTGCCCCCAACTGGGCTGGATATGCTTTACAACCTAACAAAAACTTTAGGTGGTTATACATTATTATGTCCTTTGCTGTTTCTTGTTTATTGTATATTGCTGTTTTGCCGTATCCGGCTATAGAATTTCATAATTATAATAATTTATGTTGACACCTGAGGCGTGTGCACAAATTGAACTGGCCCCAAGGTCCGCGCCAAGTTAATAAAACTTTAAGTTACAATTTGTAGGTGTATGTGAGTGAGTTTCCCTCGCTTTCGGTGAGGAAAATCCCTAGAGAAATATGAGGAAAATTGTATGTCGCATAATACTCACTTATTGCTGCTATTTCCACTGCTGACGATGCCTTTTCTTTGTATTTTGTTTTGCTCTATTTTTTTGCAAAGAACTTTAAAGAATGTCTCCCGCACCGGCTGAGAGCTCAGTGGGTGGAAATTTTTGGGGTGGTGGCGGTGTTTTAGCCAAGTTTAGCTTTTGCTCTCACACTGTTTTTGTTTGGCTGGCCCACGTGCATAATAATAACAAATGATTGGTTGTCACGCACGTAACGGTACTTTCATTCATAATTTATGCATTTTAATTTGTCAAACGAAGTTTGGGGAAAAGGGGAAGCGCTGCTGCCTGATGAAAATGAATTCGGAGAATCCAACTGGGGGAAATTAGTTTTCCCTTCCGCACAGGTGCAGTATATTTTGTGTTTGTTTGTTTTTTTTTTTTTTTCGTGGGTTACATTTTATTCATAATTTTATTTTCACACTGCAGCTGCTCCGCACAAACACAATCACAAACTCTCGCAAATGAAACACTCGCATACACTCGCGCTTACGCACGAATGTCCTCGGTTCTATCGCGATTTTCAGGACTCGGGACTGGAGCAAATTTGGAGTGGAAAAATCGAGAACGGAGAATCGAGAATCGAGAATTTGCCGCACACGGACTTGTGTCGCCTTCGCCAACCACACAGCACCAATAACCGACCAAGACTAAAAGCTTTGCTCTCCTTATTACCTGGTTTTTACTTGGCGCCCAGCACGCACACCCCCGCACAACCAAAAAAACCAACAACAACACACACACACGAGCCAATTCACGAACTCGAAAAACGACGACCGGATATCAGGATAAAAGGCGAGCCAAACACGAAAATTTTCGAGCAAAACGCACAAACTAGTTCGCATTGTCTAAGGTTGCGAAATCACGAGAGAAACACAGCGAGAGAGCTCTCTATATTCTCTGAGAGAAAGTAAGAGAAAGCATGGGAGAGAGCTCGTGTTTGGTGTTCGTGATTTGTTTGTTTCAATTCCAAATTCCACAGATGTATCTCAACAGTTATGTTAAACTAGTTAACATTCTAATGCAGAGGAAGATTTTCCTTCGTGCGAAGCAAAAATAAGGGGAAAATTATTCTGCTTACAAAATGAACAGCAGGATAACAGAGTTATAATTTTATGCAGGCTAAAAAAAATTCAAATAATTGTTGATCTAAAAATTAATTAAAACGAGGGGATGTCTACAAATCCTTTTTATTGAAATATATGTTATATTATTATAAGATTATTTTTGAGTACTAATATAAAAACCTTCCCTCTCAATAGTCAAACGCACTATGCAAAATGCCTATCAATGCTAAGTTTAACTTCGATTAATTTATCCTTTAAATAAAAATTCAGAAATATAAACACAGTATCATAAAACATACAAATTAGTATAACCTCCTCTAACTAAGTGCTCTCCCACTTACTCCGTCAAATAAACCCGGAGATGTTGTTCGTCAAATGCCTAGTTAAGTCCTCGCAGAGCCTGCATCAACAGCAATTCCTTTGATACGCACACAACATTGGTAAACAACGAAAACAATAGAAACAAGTGGAAGAACAAGGAGTAGCCTAAGACGAAGCCAGAGAAGTTTGAGACGGAAGACAGATCCTGGCCCAGTGAGGCATCAATAGAAAATACCAATAACATCGACATCATCCTCCGCATCATTAGCCCAAACAAAAACTGCTGACTGGGGCACAATGCCAGCAAGCAAATCGGGTGTAGAGCGTTTTTCCCCAATCCTATGTACCGAAACCCCTATCCCGAATCTTCTACTCCCCATCCACCCCGTTCCCACTTCTTTTCTAGACCATCGTAACCCTAGCTCGAGGGGCTCGAACTTTTTTGTGCTGCACATGCCCCGCTGGCAATTTGAAGTTGAGCCAGCAGCTAAGAGTTCTACTCGTTCTAGTTCTCCTCCTATCTTTGGCACAGAGGAAAAAAAATATTAACAAATATCAAAATAGAAAAAATTTATTTTCCAAATACTTTGCTAAAAGGTTTTAGAAATTATTTATTAAGTTCCTAGCAAAAAACTTTCATTCAAGTTCGAATTTTTATCAATGTTTTTATCTTTTAATCTTGTATCTTAAATTTTTTTCAGTGCATCTGCTGGCATCGGCTCATTGACAGTCATAACGCTGAAATGCGCCTCAACTTGAACTAATTTGTGCGCAATTTGCGCGAAGAAAGGCGTCGGAAACACCAAAGGCAAAGCAAAGAGAGAGGGACACGCAGATATAGCCAATGAATGGGGAAAGAGATGGGGAGACCCTTGGAGAAAGAGACGGAGAATGGGCGGAAAAAGAATGGCAAGCATTTGCACTTTTACTTAAGCGTAAAACTTTTCTTTTGCAGGTTGCAGCCAACTAATTTTGCTTCCTTTTCTCGAATGGATGGAAAAAAGTGATGGTGGCATAGAGACATTCAAAGATAAGAAGAGATAGAAATACTGTTACTGATTGCGTCAACTTTTTCTGCAACTTGCTTTGTTTCAAGTTGTTTTTATACTCTGGAGTTCTCAGTTATAGGGTATATTAGGTATATAAATAAACAAGCCAAATATTTTTTAAACGCTGTTTAAGAAATGATCCAGAAGTTTCAAAAAATGTTTGTCCATATGAGAGTCCATTTCAAATTAAATGATACATGTTATCTTCCCTTTATTGGGTACACATTTAGATGGCTTTATAATATTTTTTATAAAGCAATCACATTTTTTAATGAGTGTCACTAAGTCCTCAAATCACATAGCAGCCCAAACACTTGTTTTATTCTCTCATTTTTTACATTTTTGTTTTTGTGTGTCTCTGTAAATTGCATAAATTTGATTACTTGAAATTCAGTGTAGGTGAGACAGATCCTTCCAATGCGGTTTGCTCGTGTATATTTACATTCCCCGCAGATCCTGTTAAGTTCGTCCCTTTGTGAGGCAAATCCAGTTCCTAATTGTCTCCGTCGAGGACTGATTGAATCTCTTACACTCCACAGGCGGCTTTATTATTTAACGTTTCAATTACACGGCGACGGTTCTCAGTCGTAGTCCGATTCAAAATCGGGGAGTGGCATGTGAGTTGGGGTATTAAGAGTCCCTTTGCCAAGGACGAGGCAAAGGCTATTTAGCATGTAAATGCGAGTCAGTGCCAAATAGTTGAGTATCCGAGACAGAGTCTCAGTTTTGGTCGGAGGCAGTGTCTAGTTTGCATACAAATGGATTTTCTTTATGTTTATGGTGCGAGTGCGATGTAGACTGGAAAATAATTTCGCAAATGTTTCATTTGATTACGGAATGAATCTTTTCTTGGATCTTTCAATCTCTAATTGTCTTTTATGTCGAATGCAAATAAAGCTCTTTGGCCTTGATGACGGTTACCTAAATTTGGGTTTAAAGTATTTAAATTTTAGCTTCTGAAAAATTAATTTCAAGAAAATATGACAAAAATTTCAAGTACAATTTCAACACACCCTCTATAATTTTTTCTGCATGGATATATCATCAAATTATTCTTACACTTTTTATTTCAACCTAAAAAAAAACACATTTTCATTCAACTAACCTAGTCACGTGCAATTAAGCGTTTTACATTTTTTATACTTCACTCTGTGGCGAGAGTAATTAAGAACCTGTCGAACGAAGAAACTCAAGCCTTTGAGGAAAAAATTTCACTTTTCACGAACTATTTGCCGCAGGAAAAACACAATTTAGGCGAAAGAAACCTCTCATTCACACAGAACGAAAAGCGACTTCAGGCTCATTGTCGAGGATTTTTAGTGTTGAAAACAATTGCAAGTGTTGGCAGCTGTGCGCAGTGTTGATAAGGGAAGGGGGTGCAAAAACGACATGCAAACTCATAAATGCGGCCGCAAAAACACAGTTACACACACACACATACACACAAGCATGGATACAATGCATTTACAACTACCAGCAAAGGCAGCAGAATCAGAAGTAGTAACTATAACAAAGAACTCGGTCATTTGGTGCACAAAACGCAGCCAAAAGCACGCCCCATGCTGCTAAATGCTACACACGAAAAAAAGGGGCAGACTAAAAAAAATAGAACGTGAAAAAGGGAATGTGGCAAAAGGACTAGGAAGCACGCACAGAAGGCACCCACTGTTGCATGCATGCATGTGTGTTTGATGGGTGTGAAATGTTTGCCGAGCAGGCTTCAAAAAATGCTAGAATCGCTTTGGAACTTTGGCAGGGAAATTGTGTAAAGGTAAAGAATAGTTTTTATTCATTCAACTTTTTTTATAATTTTTTTTGAACATCGATATATTTCTAAAACTGTTCTTTTATTTCATAGTGAAATTATTGCTTGTTTTATGGTGTGAAAACGATTTGTTGACTTAAGTTATGACACTAGACCCATGTGGAGGAAAAAAGACTCCCTGGGAGTACGTGCTGCAATATTTATTCGAATCAATTTAGCTGCGACCGTAAACTGATTAATGTTGAGTGAGGTGGCCGCAGAATTGTGAGGTTCCGCTGTTCGCATGCTATTTATAAGCCTGCGGCTTTCGGCATTCCAATGCATTGGCTTCAATGAATAATTAAGCGGTTGGCGCTGCCAGGATTAAGAAGCAGCTCCTGCCGACCGCAACCACTCACTCGCACTTGCGAGGCTCCTTTGCCACTCCCCCTTTCGCTGCCCCTTCCACGGCCCCTTACGCACACACACTCACACATAGGAAAGAACTCATGTCAGGCTAAGAAGTGGCAAGGATATGCGTGTGTGGGACATTTTTCACCCGTCAGGCCATTGCGCATACGCCTCGTTAGCCAGGCAACCCAAAAACCTGAAAGCGAGAAACGCCATCTAATTTATAGAACGTGGCGGTTATTTCTTTTAAGTGCTCGACAAATAGAAACAACAAACACAAAACACATTTCGTCACGTTCCCCAACAGCCAGCAGTAGCATCAATATTTTTATTTGAATTCTGTCTCCCTTTTTGTTTATAATTTATTTGCATTTGCTCATTGAAATGCTGCACAAACCAAACGGGCCTAAGCGCCACGAGCCTCAAATAAATGGCAATCGTGGGAAAAGAAGAGAAATTGATGGCAGGAGATATCATTCTGCTGCTAAAAGATATTTTGGAAGGATACGGCTGTTTAAGTTAGGAAGAATAAAATGGCTTGGTTAATAAGAATAATGTTTTCAAGCTTAAGTATTCTTGCATTCATTAAAAAATTATAATTTATAAACTTTTCATAATAATCAACAAGTTTGGGGATAACATTCAAATCTCAAAAAATGTTAATTAAGACGCAGACAGTCTAAAATTTTTTTTAAAAATAAAAATAACAGAAATCATTTACTAACATTTTCTTAGCTAAACATAACTTTAAGGGGAAATAAAATCTTTATTAGGGTTGACCAAAATACTGATAAATACCCACACTCAAATGGGATTAATTTGCAACATTTCAGGCAGCAACAGGAAAGTGAATAAAACGGAATCCTAAACGAATTTCAAACATGCAATTTTTACTTGTGTTTTATTATTTGGTACCTTGCGATTGTCCGCATGAAAGCGTCCGTCATAAATTCTCGTTATACAATTTAAAAACATTTGCTAAACACGCATTTCCTGCATGGCAATGGCCAGTCAAAAATGGCCAAGAATCCGGGTG